CCGGCGGCGTGGCACGGCCCGGCGGCGACGGGGAAGGGTGTCATCAACTGCGGCTGGGATGAGGGGAGACGCAGGGGCGGGGGCGTGCCTTCAGCAAGACGCCATGGATGGCGCGCTGGCTGGCGTGCGGGCGTGCTGGCTGGTGCCTACAGCAGTGCGCTGGCCGCAGCCGTCCGTGCTCTGGCGCATCGAAGCCACCATGGCTGCACGACGATGCCACGGCAGCACGACGAGGCCGCCGCGGCAGCGCGGTGAGGCCGCCACGCCTCGAGGCTGCCATGGCAGCAGGACGTGGCCGCCATGGCAGCGCGTCAAGGCCGCCACGGCAGCACATGGAGGCCGCCACGGCGGCGCGAAAGTGAGAGGAGGGGAGAGAGTACACGGGGGCTCACCAGGATCTTCCTGTTCTGAAACCATGTTGAAGTAGCTAAGGGTTTTGGCTAGGAAGGAGAGAAATAGTGAGAGACAAAGGGTTTGACTAGGAGAGAGAGAGGTACAAGTGTCAAATTATATATTATATATATATATTTTTTTTTGTGTAGGCTTGGTAGGTGTTCTATGTTTCTGGATCTTACTGTAGAGGGTACAACACCCTTCTTGTACCTCTCTCTCTTCTAGTCCAACTCTCTTTTCTCTCATCAACTTTTCTCCCTAGCTAAAGCCTCTCAACATTCCTAATGCCTAGTTACCTAGTTAGCTCCTTCTAACTACAAGAAGTGGGTTGTACCCTCTACAGTAGGATCCAGTCATTTGTAGAACACCCAACACCTACCAAGCCTACACAACTATATATATATATAATATAAGTTGACAGTGGTGACAGGATTGCCTGAGGGTGGACGGTAGCGCAGCGGGGGAGAGAGGCAGCGTGCGAGAGGAGATGCAACAAGTGAGAGCTGGTGTGGGAGCTGAGGAGCAATCAGAGGTGGGAAGGGAGTGGCCCTCCCTCCGTAGGAAGCTTGGTAAATAGCCTCAAGGTTAGGCGTGATCTGATATGATCCGAACAGGTATTCCTACAGACGACACATCCTCGCAGCTATGCAGTGGGTCGAAAGGTGCATGAGGGGCTGCGTTATGAGTAAGTGCATGCATTGCAGAGCCGCCATCCATGATGGTGCGGTATGAAATAAATCCAGCGTGTGCAGCTGCCGGTGCAGGTACGTAGTGGCATGGATGTATAAATAAGATAGATATTCTACATGTCAGATAAGCTGGCTCGCACTAGGGCACAAGCAGCATAGCAAGAAACACTGTGAGCACTGCTGTATCAGCTACCTAGAAAAGGCCTCCTGTTCAGCTTCCAGTATTTCTGCTACAACAGCACAACTGTACATCAACTCAGCTAGGAATAGCATTCACAAGCCCAACGGCCAGGATACCACAAAGCAGCTACAACCTAACATATAGTGGTTACATGAGGAGAAGTGCAGAGAGGGCAGGGCCAACCAAGGCAAGCAGGTTAAAGATGGAAGTAGTGGCTCCTGCAGGAAACCAGAGCAGCAAAGGGACTTGTGGGCGTCAGACGGAATCAGCAAGTGGATCTATTTCAACCGGAACACATCGGCAAGTTAGTTCCATGTGAGTCGAACGCGCTGTGACGTGTGTATGTGCGTGTGTGTGTGTGTGTGTGTGTGTGTGTGTGTGTGTGTGTGTGTGTGTGTGTGTGTGTGTGTGTGTGCACCCGTGTATGCATTTGTGCATGCATGTGTGTGTGTGCGTACCCGCATACGCGGCAAGAGCATCCATGTTGTAAGGCAGAAGCACAACATCGCTCTTATACACCGCCACCTCGCCGCTCATAATATCAAGCACAAGGTCTGCGGCGTCCAAAGAAGAATATGCGAAGGGAGTGCCCTGGAATATTGGATAGCTGCTGCTGGACTTGGGCTGCAGTGTGCTGGCCTGTTGCTGGGGCGATATGCCCGTCACGTTCCACGTCCCGCCATATTGCGGACCGTACGACAGCCACAGCGGCTGCCCCTCCAGGGTGGGGAGCTCCTCGGGCCGCCGTTAGAATACTGTGGTTTGGGGAACAGATCAGCAAAGAGGGGGACATGACGCCTGAAACGTTCCGTGCTGCCGCGCCGGGGCATTCTGATACGGCAGCCAGAGGGGCTGCTCCTATGGCCCGCTGGAAGAGTACTAGTGTCATATAGGGGCGGGTGTGTTAGTGCGGCGAAGCAGGAGAGACAACGAATCGGAAAACGGCGCAGTTAATGGTATGGCAGAGTGCAATCTTCGTGAGGATGATAAGTTTCGGGGAGAGAAGCTCCGCTGGTGGGCGGGCTAGAGCAGCGAACAGGGAGAGACATTAATTGGAGAACAGAGCGGTGAAGTGGTTTTCAAAGGAACGGATGGCGTAAACTCCCGCTGGGAGTGGACACTCTGTATACAGCGGGAGTCTATGTTAAATTATATTTGTTATATAATTGTAAGCTTGGTAGGTTATCGAACTCTACTGTAGAGGGTACAACTCCCTCCTTGTATGCCTCTCTCTCTT